AAAAAAAAAAAAAAAAATGATAGAGACTGTCTATTATGTGTCAAGATAGTATGTGTTACTGTGAATACAAAAATAAAGAGTACGTACTCTCAAATAGGTCACATAAATCACACTGTCCGTAACAGACACATAAACAGCAGATAACAATGTAGAGAACTGGGTACAGTAATAACCAGAAGAATGGTGAGATCAGCTCTGTTTGATGCACCAGGAAGGATAGTCTAAGTGCATATACTTTAGGAAGATCTTTAGAGTTTATCAGCAGATAAAGGAGAAAGAGTATTCCAGGCTGAGAAAACAGCATAAAAACATAACAGAAAACAATGAAAGTTTGGGGTTTGCTAAAGCACAGTGAGTATGTGAGGGAGAATCGTGTGATGAAGCTAGGCAAAGGGCAAGAGCCACAACAGGGAGGTCATGTGTACTATGTTAGAGAGTTCATACTTTATTATACAATACACAATATAGGACCATCAAAATATTATAAGAAATGGAATAAGGTAATCAGAGTGGAATTTTTATAATATGTCATATGGCAGACAGATCGGATGGGAGTAGGTCTGTAGGTAAGGAAATCAATTAGGAGACTACTGTAATTCTCAATGTAAGGGTAGATGAATGGAAGCTGGAGTAAGAAACTCAGAAGAAGAACAGTTTGAGAAATGTTATGAAGGTGGTAACCAGTTGAATGTGAGAGTGAAGAAGTTGAAAAAATCTACGAGAACTCCAGGTTTATGACTAGGATAATGGGTGGTGGAATATTTCATAACTTAGGTAGGACAAGAAAAGAAGGGCTTTGTGGGGTAAGAAAATGAGTTCATTTAAGGCTACATGGAGTTTGATTTAACTATGGACCTTTCATGTGGGCAATTTATTACCTGAGTCTCAACCAGGAGAGATAGGTCTGGAATATGGCTTTAGATTAGATTACAGAGTAATCAGTCACGGCTAAAGTAGTTTGAGTAGGTGATGTGATATGTACCATTAAGCATGGTCACTGGAGTTAGACAAACATGGGTTTGAATTCTAGCTCTGTCACTTACAAGCTGTTTGACTTTGAGCAAATGTCTTAATTTGCTTCAGTTTCTTCATCTATAAAATAGATATAGCAGCTACTTCACAGAATTACTGAAGGATTAAGTATATGGAATGTCTACTTTTTGCCAGAGTTTTACATGCATTATCATGTTTAATCATAAGAAGTACATATGCATATTATACACATATTAATATATACATGTATAAATTTATACCCAGAAATAGCAGATGGATTACCTCTAATGATATCATCACTTTCTCAGAGAAATGTGTTCGGGATGCCCACTGCAAGTCTATTCTAGAGGCCTCTTCCCAGAAGAGCAAGAAATTGGAGTAGGCACTCCTGATCTATTCTTTTCTTCATAGTTGGTTTCCCAAATTACTTATTAGTAGCAACTTTAGCCCTCAAGGTGAGGACATGTGGGGTTCTCTCAAAGGTTTGCCAAGATCCATCCCCTCAGGTTCTTTGCAGTTGCCCATACAAAATTGGTCTACATGATTTATTTTAAAAATCAGAATTGCTGTTTATAAAAGTTGGCCAGGTAGATATTTATGTGTGTAGTTCTCTTTAAATTGAACATTTATGCTCTGTAAGAGTACCCAGGAGTGTGAGAAGTGTAGGAAAGTTGCTGTAAACAGAGAATAAACAGCAAAGAAGAAACTAACTTTAGTACAAAGACAGTCTGGCTTAAGAGTAAGTGGTTCCACAACTGTTAGGGATAAGTGAAACTTTTTGTTCAAAGGCTCCAACTTGGCACAATCTGTAATTGTCATCAGAGCAGATTATTCATAACATTTTCTTCATCAAAAGTACATAGAACTTTACTTAGAAAGATCATAGACATATTGACCAGGTGACTATTCAAAATTCTACTTAATTGAATCTACATAATAAATTTTAAATATCTTATATAGAATTCATACCTTACCTTGGTCATTATTCTTTGTAATCTTTTGCGTTCAAGAAATCCCCTGACATGCGCCTGCATGTAAGTAATCAATTTAATTATTTTTCTGGTAATTATGAATTTGTTTCTTTCTTGGAACACTTGGAAGATTTCTATGTGTGGTCCAATTCTTTTAACTTTACTGTCAAGTTTATCACCTTTATTTATAACAGATTTGACCCTAAAAATAAAATATAAAAATGTCTTATTTTAGATGATTAGAAAAACACTTCTACAAACAGTATGAAATTCTTTCAATGATAAATACATTGAAATAGGAAATATATTGTAACTTGTACATAGAATTCAATATATAGTATCATCTGAATATATCAATAAGCTTCTCTAAAGAAGGTTGAATATGCCAGAATCCATATTGCATGTATAAAATTAACCTTCTGTAGAGAGGAAATCCAAAAGAAAGTGAATTTGTCAAAGTTTATCTACAACTATTCAAAAGAGAATGTTTTCATATCATAGGGCAGGTGAGTTTGAGTAATCTTCCTATCCCAGCAGCTATTTTAAACTAAAAACTACTTCAATATTATTTAATTATCTGGCACTGGTATTCTCCTTACCAAACATCATCAAAAGTAATTTTGACCCAAATGCTCTCAGTTGAGAAGCACTATAGTGTTGTGGTAGGGTTGTGGAATGTAGAATCAGCAGAAGAGAAGGATCATACTAGAAACCATGATCAGACTGTAGTGTTGACATGGATGACCCTTCCAGTGATGAAGAACACGTGAGAAAATTTTCTACCATGAGAAAATTCTCCACCACGAACAGACTATCTGTAATCTTGGTAACCCTGTGTCTGCTTTTTCCCTTTATATATTTGTTGTATCTGTTATGTGGTGGTCAGATTTTTCAAATCTTCCAATGTCCCAAGTTTAGTTCCCTTGCAATTCTTAGCATATAAAAATGCCTCCTCCTCTTAATGTTTTTGTGTCTGCCTCTCTTTCACAGCTGGAGTTCCACTCAGATGCCCAAGTCAATTCACCCACCAACGGCTGAGTCTTGCCCCAAAAGTGTACGGTGCATATATGTCTGAATCCCAGGCCCAATTTTCTTGATTCTCAAAGTGAATCTCTGACTCATGCTGACCTTCTTTTTGCATTTTTTTT